AAATTAATGCAGAACCCCATGAAATTCCAAAAGGTTCACATACTTTTTCTTGCAACTGTATGTTGTTATTTCTGGTAACCCTGAATGGATGTTTGCTGACACCAGGACGGAAGTGACAATGTTTTATGGATTTGTTTATAGATAAGAGATAAGATATGGGAAGAAGAGATCATTTGTTGTATTTTAAGAAGAGGTGATAAGTTACTATACTCGTGATGAAGGTGGGAAGTAACTTCTTTAATATATTTCTTTTCTTTTTCTTTACTATAGCCTTACTTTTCCATTTTTCTTTTTCTTTTTTTCCTTTTTCCTTTCTTTTTTGGACCTTCTACTCTTTCTTTTTATTCCTCTATCTTTTTTTTTAGTTTGTATTAGTTTTTACTGTTGTAATTATAATCTTTAATAACATTACTATAAAAAAACTTTTCACAGATTTTGTTTTTACTGTTCAACAGAATTAAAATAGTTTCAACATGAACTAACTGGTTTGGATACTACAGTATTAAAACCTTGAATAAAATATTTTTCTGCAGCCAATTGGTTCTCATAACCACATTGATTTTTTTGAAATGATTGCTTCTAATGGAAGAAATAACCTAGCAAGAATTCATTTTCTCCTGTTTCTTATAAACAGGGGGAGGAAATGCACTAATCTTTTCCTCTCCAGGTTCAGCTATGTGTGGAAGAAAGTACAAAACACTTTGCATTCTGGTTTTCAGAACATCTACAGAATATTGCTGTGTTTTAAAACACTTTTTGGACAAAGGTATTGAGTACTTTTTCATAGGTTTTGCTTTTGTCTTTCAGCGTCTCTCTTGAAAGGTCTAAAACATGCTAATATTGTGCTGCTTCATGATATCATCCACACAAAGGAGACATTGACACTGGTATTTGAGTTTGTGGTAAGTTTATACATTTTTTGTCTTGGGCACTTAAAAACAGAATGGCTGACATTGGACAAAAGAGACCTGGATAACTTGCATAGTATTTCCTTGCTGCTGATAGGATGGGTTGATTCATTTTGGAGAGCAATATGAAGAACATTCCATAATTAAAATACTGTGATAATATCAGATATTGTATTACATGTTCTTTTTCAGATATGTGAGACAACCCTTTTTCAACTATCTTGAGTCTTTCCTCTCCCCCCTCCTCTATTTAGAGGTGTATAATTCCTATAATTATACTCATTTTTATAGTATGTATTCATTATCTGCATAAAATTTACTTTATTACATTTTGAAAGTTGCTTTAAAGGCTCCATGATGTGCTGAAATACATAAATATTTTAAACAAACTATTACTGCAGCCTTGCTTTTAACCGCTCACTTAGTAGTGGTAAAAGAACGAGAACTGGTACATTGTATGAAAGGAGGAAGTGCAAAGAACAGAGAATCCCCCTAATATGAAACTAGCATAAAAATATACCAGGTTTTTCAAGGAAAAATTGAAAAAATTTTCAGCCACCCTTAACCAGCTAGTAACTCTTTTTGCAAGTTAATAGTTTTATTCATTTGCTTACAAGGACTTTGTTATATAGACTTGCAGTAACTGAAACCTTTGTAAGTGGACTGTTTGATAATTTTGATCAATATATACCATGATTATAGATTCAGATAGATATTGTGAGACTTAAAAAGGAACTTACAGAGTTAAAAACTCTCTGTGTTTCTGTTATTGCACCTGGAGTTTGTGTTTTAATAATCAGTGTCAGAAAACTCTAGTGAGTATAATTTATACTCCATAGCCTCTTCTCCCTGAGTCGCATTTCAGCTATTAATTAAAACTTCGGTTTCCATAGCATACAATTTAATGATTAATTCTGTTCAGAGAATTGTTTTGTGAAGTTTGGATTTAAACTCCTAATTAATCATTCTACATTTTCCTAAGACCAATGTATGGTATTTATGTAGTATGATTTCTATATTTAGCTGCAGTATTGAATAATGAGTAATCATAATTAACCCTCAAATTTCCATAGATGGAATGGAGAATGTATAATTTATAAGAAGGAAAATGAATTTCAACTAGATTTAACTTTTAAATAGTGTATATATTTTTATAGTCAGTAAACCTGTACAGTTAATATTTCAGTGACAGATGATTGTGCTTAATGTTACATGCTGTTTTTATGAGGGGTACTCTCCTACTTCGTTATAAACTGCTCTGATTGTCAGACGGTGAGCAGGCAGATAAAGGGCCAGTATCTTTATTATAGTTAATGTAAAAGAATACTGTATGGCCTAGAGATTGGGAAAGATTAGTGTATGTACATATATCAAAGAAGGAAGATGGAAGAGAATGTACAAACTACTGAATAATTACATTAATTCAAAAGTAGTTTTGCTTAAGTGTTACAAAAAAGTATACAGCCATACAAAGAAAAATGCCAAATTAAAAAGCAGATTTCAGATGGCAGGAGGATACAAAATCAGATAGCTAACATAAGATAGATAATGGAGATAGGAAGAAAATTTAAGAAAGTTTACATTTGCTTATTGATTACAGCAAGTCCTTTGTGTGAATCATATCAGAATGTGGGATGTATTTATTTCTCTGAAGAATTTGTATGATGAAAAAGAAACTTAAGAAGTTTCTTAATGGAAGAACTAAGTTTGGAAAAATGGAGTAGTTCAGAATATAAATGCTCTCATATCTACTTAATGTATACAGTGAATATATAATGACAAGTTTGGAAGAGTTGACAGCTGAAATCAAAGTTGGACATCAAAACATTAACACTTTGAGATATACAGATGACACCATTTATTAGCTGAAAGTCTAATCTGACTTACTGTTAAATATAAGAAGATAAAGGCAATATCAAACAACAGTTAGTGAACTTACACTTCAGAACATATCAATAAAGTTGTAGACAGTTTTTTGGGGGTTCAGAATGGATAAGAATGAACAGTGTGCTGGAGAACTTGACATTAATTCTAGGGAAGGAAGCAATGACAAACATAATTAAGAACAGTAAGGATAATGATATTTTATGAGAATGAAGATCAAAATAATTAAAACAATTTTTTCAGCGATAAAATATAGCTATGAAAGTTGGACACTGAGAAAGTTTGGAAAAAAGAAGATACCTTTGAATTATGGAGTTGGATACAATTACTAATAGTACAGTACACTGGAAGAAGAACCAATCACTCAGTCTCAAAACAAATAAAAGCAGTGATCAGCAAGCAGAAACCCATGTACTTGTAGTATGAGATATGAGCTATTAATTACTAAAAATGATTATGCTTGGAAAGGCTAAGGAAAGTAGGAAGACAATGGGTAAGAAACATGGATGGGATCAAAGAGATCACTGGGATGTCCTTGGAAGAGCTACAGATTATCTCCACATAAGATTGAGAAGAAAGGCATTTGGCCATATAGTCACCAGGAGACATGCCAGTGCAACAGTACCTAACAAACAATCCGTAATATAAAACTATTGTTTCAGATTACATGTTAATCCAGTATGGTTTAGCATATCATGCAGAAGCAATTAATTGAGCAAGGGAAGGAGAGATAACATACATGTAGATGTGAAACCTTTAAAAGAAGTATTGCCTGCAGCATGGAGAGATACATTTTCCTTTTGACTCACCGGTGTGTAGACAAAAAGGACAAATGGAATTGTACTAGGAAAAATAATGCCTTTCTTTCGATTAACTAGCCAGTTTAATATTTCTTTGATGATGACTTTCTTTTCTCAGAGATCCACTGTAGGCTATCTTGCCTTTATGAAGTTGTGCATAAAATGTTCAGTTTTGCTTTGAACAGTTAGCAAAATAATATCCATTGATTGTAATAAACCTGTACTTGATGGAATCTGCCTAAAAGGACAGACACTAACTGCTTCATTTAATGGCTAGTAACCATTATGTCAGGAAGTAAAGATCTGTGACAGAATGTTCTCTAAATGCTAATGAATTGTCAATATATTAAATGATGTAAATATTCTGTCAAAAACTGATACCTGAATATTGTGTTCTACTGATGAGAAATTAAAAGAGAATATGGGCAGCTGTACTCTCTTATGCTTTTTTAATTTTGAAAACTAGCTTGTAATATTTGCTGCTTCGTGTATTTCATTAAAACAATGCAGTTTATCTGATCTTTTTATTCTTTGGACTTACATGCATGTGCTTTTACAAGCATGAATCCATGGATATTGCATATGTCATTTTTGAAAAAGATTCCCAAATCAAGTTAAAACCTTATTCTTGCTTCAGTGACGAGCAAATTGCTTGCTTTACCTTTTAAAAATTCCCTCTTCCACAGTAATGAAATAGAGAGCAAGTTGCTGGAAACAGAGGAATGAACAAGTGATACAAATGGCTGCAGAAATCATTGCTGCAAGGCATGGATGCTTTTGAAGATTAATCTAAAAATTAGTGTTACTTAGTAAAGGCTATTTGCTTGATGTATTTAACCTTTTTTTTATATCTCTGTCTCTTCTTTCATTCGTTGTCCAATGACCTCTTCCCTTTGCCTCACCCCGTCTCATTTTTTTGCTTTCACCTCTTTCCTTCACCTTTTTTCTTTAAATTCCTCTTCTGTTTTGCCATTTCTGCTGGAATATATCAGAATATTTATGTATTTAATAATCAAATGTATAGGCCTCCCAACTCATAGTGACTTTGGGCAATATATAAGATAAAAACAATCCAATACAATGCAAACAGAAGGCAATAATCCAGAGATTAAAATACCAAACACATTAATAAAGGCACACACTTCCTAGTCTAGTGCCTAGGAAGAGGCCCACTTAAAGGATGGCAAAGTCAGGGCACCTCCAGCCTCTGAGGGGATATTATTGCAGAGGAATAGAGAAGGCAATGCCCCATCAAGTCTCAGGTCCCTCAGATGACACTGTTTTAGGGATGGGGCCTGGAGCATGCCTGTTCTATCAGATCTTACAGAATGTTTAGAGTAACAGAAGTGACCTTGGAAGAAATATGCAGAAACTGTTAAAAAAAAAAAAAAGCATACTTTAAGCTTGGAAAATAGAAAAAATGTGAGAAAGAAGCTCAGATAGACTTCCCCTTATACCCATCTCTGGGGTGTAAGAAGAGAGGAAAAACCACATAATTAGTTCATTAAATGGGGTTTCACTGTATCAATTTAGGTTTGAAGTGAATAGAGAGCTGTTTGGTTCTTAATAAAAATATTAAAATCAAGTAGAAATGTGTATGTGTAACACTAGTTCTTCTAGAGCTGCATATAAAATGATTTATTTGCTAAAATTTGAGTGCTAAAACAAGGCACATACCTTTTCTTGGAAATAAATATTCATTTGGCTATACTGAGAGCCATATTCCTATAGATAGTGAATGGGTCAAGTTCAAAAAGTAAATATGATGGCATTTAAATTTTCAATTAATTGAAATTAAATATACCGTCTTTTTCTGTCAATAAGACACCCCCATGTACAAGACGACCCCCACTTTTCCAACCCAAAATTAAGAAATCAATATTTTAAAAATAGTGCAGAACACATTTTTATTTAGTAATTCGTTAACATTTACCTGATACGCTTGGTGGGAGGAGGTCCAAACCGTCTCTCTGCAGCTCTACTTCCATGCTCTTTTGCATAACTGATTACATTCAAGCACGAGTGAAACTGCCAGTAGCTTGTCTCTGCAAACGGACTTCCTCTAATTGGTTTGTTCAGCATCAGTTGACATCAGCTACATCAGGCTTGTGATTGGAGGAAGTCTGTTTGGGAGACAAGCTATTTCACTCGTGATGGGAGGCTAGCAATAGGAGGAAGCCTCTTTGCA